CTCGATAGACAAGATGTAAAATCTTCTAGCGGAGGCAAAGTAGGAATTAAACAATAATAATAATAATTATTTGCATTACCAAAGTTTTCTAATTTTTTTTTTTTTTTTTTTTTTTCAGGCAAGTGTGGTAAATATTTATATATAAAGCTAAAATGAGTTTCTATTTTAATATTGAATTTTTTTTAAGGTTTTTTTTTATTTAGTTATACAGGTCGGAAGGTTTTGAAAATTCGGATGATGACAAAAATGCATTGATTCGAAAAGATGCTGAAATGGTAGCATTAAAAAATAAAATAGCCGTAAGTTATCATTATGATAATAATTATATATTTCTTGTACCTATACTTGATTATTTATTTTTATTTTAAAATTCGAGGGACTCGAATCCGAATCCGAAGATTATCGTGAAACGTTAACAAAAGCAATGCATAAATTAGAAAAAATGGATTCGATAATGAACGAAAATAATCTTTTAAGAGAAAAATTAAAATATTCCGAAGAAACGATTAAATATTTAGAAGAGAAAAAGGTACGATGAAGGGAAGTGGGGGCGGGGGGCGGGGTAGGGAGGGGAAGGGGGGAAAAATAATAATAATAATAATATTACCCACGTGATATTTTTTTTAGAAAGAATTAGAAAAAGAATTGAAATTATTTAAAAGAACGACGGAAAATACGGAAACGGATGAAAAACAAAATTGGGATAAAAAATGCATTTTGGATCGCGGTGATTGTGATAAAATCGTTCGTTTATCATCGGAAAAAAAATTATTAATCATTCAAATAGAAGAATTAAAAAAAGAATTGGAAATTGCTAGAATAAATTCAAAGGAAATCGAATCCCTGAGGAAAATATCGGAAAACACGACTAATAATTTACAAGAATTAATTAAAGAAAATGATTGTTATAAGAAAAAATTAGAAACTATGAAATTTTTAGAAAAACATATCGAAGATTTAAAAAAACAAGCTCAAATGTTAACGGAAAAATATAAAAAGTTAATAATAATAATAATAATATTTATTTAATTAAAAAAAAAAATAAAAAAACCCCCCTTATTTTAACCCTTAACTTTTTTTGGGGATTTTTTATAGGGAATCTCAAAAAGCAAACGAACATTTAATGCAAATAAATATAAATACAAAAGAATTACAATTATTAAGGGATGAACGTGATAGATTACAATTAAGGGTCGATGAACTTTTAACATACGAAAATCAATTTTTATCACTTCAATCGAAATTACATCAAGTCGAAATCATTCTCGATGAAAATGAAATGCTTAATAAAAAATTGATACATTTGGATAGGTTGGAATTGGAAAATGAACATTTGAAAATGAAAATCGAACAATATAAAAGTATGGAAATGCAATCGAATCAGGATAAAGAAAAAATAATACAATTGCAATGTGCGATAGTTGATCAAGAAGAAGAAATTAAAAAAATGGTTCGTCACATGGAACAATTAACAGAAGGGGTAAGAAAAAAAAAAAATTAAATTATTTACATTCATGTATGTACTGATAACACTTATCTTTCTTTCTTTTTCTAATTAAGTATTCGGATAAAAATGAAATATATAAATTAAAAAGTGAATTAGATGAGAAAAATATTATTATTAAACAATATGAGAGACAAATATCCGAAATACCAATTTTGGAATGCGAAATAGAAGAATTAAGAAATAAATTACAAAAATGTATCGACGATTTTAAAATTGATAAGGATTTACTGATAAGGTTGCAAGAAGAATTGGAAGCGTATGTTATCATTATCGACAAAATTTTCGCTAATCGTTTATCTCGAATTATTATTATTATTTATAATTTCCAGGTGTCAAACAAGATGTCACGACCTGGAAGAATCGACATCGGTTTATCCAACGGAATCCACACAATCACAATCCGATGAATTGTTATTATCAACGCTGGATAATTTCGATAGGGAAATTTCGAATGATGATAAAATAAATTTAACTATAATTCAGGAAGAAAAAGAGGTATTTTTTATTTATATATAAAAACAAAAGAGGTAAAAGGGGATTTAAGGGAATCATCAGAGGGGGATTTAAGACGAAAAATTTTTTTCCTTTTTTTCACGTAAGGTAAACACTGATGAAATAATAAAAAAAAATATGAATCT